TATGGATCCTGTAAGTGTTTCACTCGTGAGCGTTCGTCATTTCGACAGATGCAAAAAAATATCCTTTGGACATGTGTCTCGATGACTCAATTTACGAATACTTCAAAAAACCCTCTTGCACTGCCGTCTTTTAGCATACATACTGAGTACAGCGACACGAGCTATGGTAACATCTAAGTGAATCATAAGAAGTCGTCTGGATTCAAGCTTTCGGCAGTATTCACTCACACAAGTAATCTGTGTGTCAGAGTAATAAAAATAGGTCCATTCGATTAGACCCTTGCATCAGTCTATTTTACAAATTCTACGGCTTTATGAGGATTTTACCTCGGCGTAAACACGGCATTCAAATGCCCAACCACGGATTCCGACATCACTTTGTTTGAAGTTCAACGGATGACCGTATGAAACGCGAAGCATTTGCTGTACGATATCAAGTCCTGTGATCGCTTCAGTGATTGGATGCTCTACCTGTAAGCATCGAGTGTTGAACTCAGCAATCTGTTATATTCTGCCAATCACGGCTGCTAACATTGCTTTTTTTTAGGATCATATTCAGTAAACTTAGTATATTAAGTAAACCGTCAATTTACATAGCATATTGAAAGGCTTGAAAAACTCATCACGAACAGCGTACAATGAACAGAATAATGGATAACCTGAAGTCGAGTGTTCATTTCCAAGAAGTAGAAGTTCTTCTTTGAGTCAACCAAAAATTCAACGGTACCAGCCGAATCGTAACCGACAGCCAAAGCGAGTTGAGTTGCTGAATGCGAAGACTGTTACTTTAGAAGGTAATATTCAACACGAATGTACTAATTAAGCACAATTGCGAAATGCCGTCTCCAATAAAATTTTCTGATTTCATACCAATTCTACGAGTGAGATGGACGAATTTTGTTTTCAGTGAGTGAAGTCGTGAGTGCAAAAATGGCAATTCCGAAGCAGCGAAACTGTCTGACTATTTTAGGCAGCATTCTCCGCGAATTCATCACATCAGTACGAATAAATTTCAACAATTCTGGATAGCATGTTACACGATGAATTCATGTAATATACCTTGAGCACCCATCCTCTTTCGCATTTCTGGATCAACAAATGACGAGGGAGCCTCTTCAATAACCTTTTGGTTTCTTCGTTGAATTGAGCATTCACGTTCGTTAAGCCAAACAGCATTGCCATGTTTGTCGCAGAGAACCTTAAAAAATGAATCACTTGGGACTCGTTTCACAGGCGATTGGTTTGTTGGAATCGCAGGTGTCTCCTCTATATTACGTCTTATTATAATAACATGAACTCTCAAACTTTAAGCATTAGCACACAACTCAACAATCACCGAAATATTGGCCAAAAGGGATTCAGTAAAGTGAAATCAGGAAGAGTGAATGATCCTGAAGCAACGTACTTGCATTTCAATGTGTCGTGGGTTATCGATGAACTTCTCAACAAGCATACGGTCATCACCGAATGACGATTTCGCCTCTTGTTTAGACAGTCTGTATCCATTTCGTGCTTCAGTATCATTCCACGCGATACGCATACCCTTACCACCACCGCCGGCTGAAGCCTTGATCATGACTGGATATCCGATCTCGTTTGCTACTTTCACGCACTGTTCTTCATCCTTAAATCGTGCATCTATTAAGTTGGCTTTTGATGTGTCATTCAGAGAGTGACCACAACCATTAGTGACTGCTTCGATGCGTAATTAAAATCGTTCACTACTTACGAACATACTGCATTTACGATAGAGAACATTTTAAGGCAGATGATCTGATTCGAAACGCAAAGCAAACTTCCGTCTATCAAATGACCAAGCAAGAGAATCGGAAAATTATGACCTTATCATTTTTGTACTACGATCACTTTTGGAGTTTTTCTATGCATAAACTGGAAATTTGATAAAGTGGAGAAACGAACATCGATTTCGCCATCATAACCAGGAATCATGTTCACACGAGCTTCGGTAGCGATTCGTTTTGAGTGGATTTTGTCACCCATGGCCAGGATAGCCTTTGAGTTAGGTCCAATGAATTTGGCACCTGCATCTTCCAGTTTGGCTGCGAAATCAGTGTTCTCGGACAGGAAACCATAACCCGGGTGGACAGCCTGAGCTCCGGTGTCTTTGACCGCTTGAAGGATTCGATCAGCGCGAAGATAGGATTCACTGGTTGGTGCAGGTCCTACACAGACGGCCTCATCGGCCAATCGAACGTGCAAGGATGCACTGTCAACATCTGAGTGCACAGCAACTGTCTTGATTCCCATCGCACGGCATGTCTTTATCACACGGCACGCAATTTCACCTGAATTCAATGAAATGTTGTTATCACCTCATCAAATGAAACTGAATTCATGCACAGCATCTCGTCTGCGACTGAATCTAAGACAAATTGGCTCCAAATCGCTGCTAGACGCACCTCTGTTAGCAATAAGGATTTTGTCGAATTTGGGTTCGTTTGGGTTGATGGGATCGAGTGTGTAGAATGAACGATCGTACTCCACATGATGATGTGCACCAGCTGGTGTAGACCTAAAATGTCGTTATTTGTTACTTAAGTTGTCCGATCCCATATAGTAGAAAAACACTGCGCAAAAGAATCACAGTTCTGAGACACTGTATAGCATGTGTTTTGATTTGAAAGAATTTGATTTGTTGAAGTGATTTGAAGTACGACATGAAGTTGATATAAGTAATTGTGTTTATTATTCAAAACATTATATGCCGAATAAGAAATTCATTTGCTATGGAGAGTAGATTCAAGAAGGTTTGAGGGAACGAAATCGTATCGTGATAAGTGAAGCTGGAATTCCATCGAAACAGTCCTCAAGGGATACAGAATGAATTGCGCTTGGAAATGATCGACTTACTTGGGAGC